CCCTTCCATGGCCTGTGCATCAGCTCCTATCTCCATGTGTCTGCCTTGGGTGAGTCCTGTCCTGACTGCTTTTGATGATGAACTGTTATATGGAACTGTGAGTGAAATAGACCCTTTTCCTCCCCAGGTTGCTTTTGGTCATGGCAGCTCATCACAGCAACAGTAAACCTTACTAAAATAGACATATTTAGTAACCATGCTTCCAAGTATGTTAAGCTGTGATTGGAATGTTTACATGTTTTTTGTGTGATATGACTTAAAAATGTAACTTAAATTAATCATCTCCCACGATACATATTTATGCATAATGTTCCGTTTGCAGAGTCACTTATTCAGCTTATTTGACATATTTCCTCTGCACGTTTTTTGTGTGTTTGGCAGTTTTTATAAATGCTGCAGGCTACGGCACGGAGGAAGTGAGTTGGGTCTCACCCTGTGACACGAACCTGCCCATTGGGGAGCACCAGGCAGTGAACAAGAATTACATGTTTCAATATTGATGAGTGCACCAAGGACAGGACACTGGGCACAGTGGTGAGGGGTGGGTGGCAGGACCTGTGGGAGGTCAGTAGGGGACACTTCTTCTTTCCCTGGGTGATGGAAAAGGACTTTCTGAGCAAGTGAGTTCTAACTCAGATCTGAGTCATACACAGGGCCCATGGAGATGTCCAGGGAAGGAGATTCTCTGTAGTAACAATGGCGTATACAGGTTCCTGAAGGGGGTCCAGGCCTGGTGCGTATGAGGGACAGCAGGAGGCCACGGTGACTGAAAGGAGAGAGGCATGTGTGGAAGGAGATTGGGGCCTGTCAGTGCCATGGGAGAGGACGTGGAGTGTGTTTCTAAGAATTGGCCCCAGTTTTCAATCCACAGTGACAGGGTCGAATGGATGCTTTTGGATGGTGACCGTGGCTGCTTTGTGCAGAATGAGTGTGTGTGGAGCAAGGATGGAGGCGGGAGACAGGACCACTTCACAGACTGATAGCAGTGCAGGCCAGAGGCTCACATGGCTGCCTCTGGGGCTAGCAGCGGGCATAGTGGGCACAGTTTGACTTCAGAAAGTATGAAGCTGTAGCTGCCAGGCGTGCTCCGTACAGGAAGGGGTGCATCAAGAAGCTCTAGGGCGCTTTTGTTTGCTCCGTACAGGAAGGGGTGCATCAAGAAGCTCTAGGGCGCTTTTGTTTGCTCCGTACAGGAAGGGGTGCATCAAGAAGCTCTAGGGCGCTTTTGTTTGCTCTGTGTTGGGGAAGGCTGAGACAGTGTCTTGTTGTCTAGCCTTGGTTGAACTGACTCACTAAGGTGCTCCTCCTGCCTCGGTCTCCCAGGTACTGAGATTATAGGCATGGACTATGATTTTCGCAAGTAATTTTTGGGAAGTGTCTATACCCTTTTTTTTTTTTTTTGATAAGGGAGAGATCAGGAAAGAACTCGTTGGGGACTGTGAATCAAGAATCTGCTTTGGGTGTGAGCTCACAGTGTCTAAGACTTGCAAGAAACAAATTGTGCTTACATCTGGATAGAGGGCTGGTGGGAGATATATAGACATCTGGGGGAAAGTCAGAATAATTTAAAAATGGATGCTTGTAGGTTTTACCTAAATTAACCTAAGTTCTTAAGAAATTCCCAAAAGTGCTGCAAGAGGTGGCCAGAATGCTTACAACAGAGGTGGGGCCTTGGGTGAGTGTCCAGGTGATGAGCTCTCTGGTCTTCTCCTGGACAGTGCAGGCACATCCAGAGGCCATCTTTGCAATCTTGTCTAATACCCCTTACAGAAAGGAAATGGCCAGGTCTTGTTTTTCTTTTAAACAGGGTTTGTCTGTGTTGTCCTGGATATCCTAGAACTCACTATGTAGACAAGAGTGACCTCAAACTCAGAGATTCTCCTGCCTCTGCCTCCGGACTGCAGGGGCTAAAGGCATGTGCCACCACACCTGGCACTGAACTAATAGTGAATGTTCAATAAATGCTTATGTTTATCAGATTGATTTGTCGTTGTCATCACAGCCACCGCCATCATCAAGCCAGAGGCTTTCAAGCAAAATTGCATCATATTGTGACTCAGGCCTTGGAGTCACGGTCACAAGCCTGGGTTCCATTTCTGGCTTTGCTCTTTACAGGTCATGAGGCTCTAGGCAAGTCACTTAACTCCTTTCTTCATTGAGTAGCACATGAAAAACAAGCCCCCCCCCAAGCACTGTGAACATACCCATATACTAGAGACTTAATATAGTTGGGTTTCAGCTTCTCCACATTGGCCCACTGGTGGCTGGCGTCATTCTCCCTAACCTTGTCTAAACCATCGTGAGACTGCATCTCACATCACATTAAAGATTTATTGTCCACTAATGTCTTAGTGATTGAATTGTGTATTTACTTCTGTTGAAAGTAGCCATCTTGCTGTTGTATCTTTTTTGTTTTGTCCATTTCTGTGGTCTTGTATATTAAAACTGTCATATTAGTTACATGATGTCGCGCCCACCTCGACCAGCAAGGAAGACGCAATGCCCAGACTCTTCTTTAATCAGTTTATTCAGGAACCTTTGAACAATCTTTTCCTGGGGAGCCCCAGGGAGCCCCAACCCACAGCTTAAAAGCCCTTGGGTGGCCAACCCCAGTATGCCACGTGGAACATGCAGATAGGTCCATGTACGCAGAAGCCTGATATCCAGCCTTAACCAAATACAGGTGTTGTTTATCACAGAGAGCACTTGCTATCGGGCTAGCAGAAGGCAGAAGCCAGGGCCATCTTAAGGGTGCGGCACTGCAGCTCTCTACAGTTCCCCCTTTTTTGTTTTAAACGCAACAGGCAAGAGTAGAGGTCTGATCTCTGACATAGACAGGACATTGTACTGATTTCTCATTTGATGTCATCCACCCAACAAGCATCAGACCCGTCCGATACCCTTTTTTCAGAGGTGGGACTCTTGGGTACCAACCCTCATGCAATCAGACATGCTCTTCTCCGGGTCGCTGTTAGCTGACACAGAGTGCAGTGCTTTGCCTCGCATCCTGAGCGCATTTAATCAGCTCTTAAGGTAGTCAACCATGCCTGGGGGGACTGTCCTGCTTCAATAGCTGTAAAGGCCTGAATGACCATGGCTGCACTGCGTCTTTGTGTGACTCTAATCTTACATAGAAACCACAAGCAAACCAGGGAGACCAACACCAAGAGACCTGTTAATACTCCTATGCCCGCCCACTCCTTAAGATGGTTCATTGCAGAAGTCAGCCAGGACGATAATCCCGATGCAAAGGAAAGGTCCACTCTGGTGGAATTCACATGGACCACTGCCAGCCTCAACTCCTTCAAAGTATCTTCAAATTCAAGTGACCAGTTCTGTAAAAGAAAACTGGACAAGTACTTAGACAAATTTGCAGCTTTTAGTTTTTTCTTTTTTCCTTTTCTTTTCCTTTTTCCTGCAAGCCACTTGCATGGCTGGTAGACTGGGTAGCATTTAATGAGTAGAGGGGTAAAGCGACTAATACCACACTGGCTGTAATAGATTCTAATTAGGGCAGCATTAACAGGCTAAAATAGGCCCAGGTGGTATGAGGCAGCTGGAGAAAGCCGAGTAGCATTAGTAAGGTAGCGGCTCACAGACTCAAGCTAAGTGCTTCCATAGAGACTGGATTTGATGAAGGATTGAATGTGGGGGATAAGGATGGATGAGATCCCTACCATTCTGGGGAGCTGAGAGATGGAGTAGAGGTTAAGAGCACTGATTGCCCTTCCAGATGGACCCCGGTTCAACTCCCAGCACCCCCATGACTGTTTCTTATATGAAGTTGACCGCTTCACTAATTGCAGTGGGAAAAGACATGCCAAAGCCTGCAGTGAGGGAGGGGAAAGCAGAACACTGATCTCAGCTGGCCTGTGCTTCTGATTGTACAGTTACCTTTAATGGAAGACACCCTTGAACAACAGTGGAGGCTTCTGGGTACAGAGAAAAGTACTGCAATGGGCAAATTGGCTACACCTGGCTGCATGGTTTGAACCAACCCATCTGAGCCTGCCCAGCAATAAGCCAAGAGAAGAAACACCTGAGTGACCCTTACATTAAACCTGGAAAAACTCATTTTGACACACGGTACAGGGTTTTTATAGTGAAAAGGCTCCCCCTAGTATCCAAATCTCTGGCGCTTAATTTAAGCTGGAAAATATATCAAAGCCTGGATCGTTCCTCGGTCCCATGCAAAATCAAGATCTTCATACCATGGGGATCATGACAAAAACTCAGAAACCTGTATAAGTCCTTATTTTCCAGTTCTGTAAGACTGCATCATCTTAGCTGTTTCAATTGTTGGAACACCTGGTTCACTGCTTCCGGGGGTCTTGGTTCATCAAACCATAGAAGCCTGGAAGGAATCCTCAGCTTTTTATTTTCTGTAGAAACAAACAAAAATTCTTCTCCGAAGTAACATATCAGCGGCATTTATAGTCAAGTGTACTTCTGTAGCTGTTCCTTCCTTAGCAATCAAAAAACTGAAAAACAATAGTGTACAGTATCCAGACTTTCTGTGTATTTTTCATCTTTATGTGGTTTATTTATTTATTTAAACTTTTACTTTCGGTTCGCTGCTCCGCAAACCATTTGTCCCGCTCTCTCTTTACCTACAGAGAAGAGCAAACCAACCTGATCTTGTTGAGGTCCCTTATTTGTCCCACCTTACCTTGGGAACTAACCAGCGCGCTGCCCTGACTGCAAAAAGTTCTGAGTCTGTTGGAAAAGACTCCCCGTACGGGCCACCATTTGTCGTACCCACCTCCACCAGCAAGGAAGACGCAACGCCCAGACTCTTCTTTAAGCAGTTTATTCAGGAACCTTTGAACAACCTTCTTTTCCCGGGGAGCGCCAGGGAGCCCCAACCCACAGCTTAAAAGCCCTTGGGCGGCCAACCCCAGTATGCCACGTGGAACATGCAGATAGGTCCACATACACAGAAGCAAGCCTGATAGCCAGCCTTAACCAAATACAGGTGTTGTTTATCATAGAGAGCACCTGCTGTCGGGCTAGCAGAAGGCAGAAGCCAGGACCATCTTAAGGGTGCGGCGCTTCGCAGCTCTCTACAACATGACATTTTCCTTAAAGGGAAAAAGAAATCACCATATCGTTTGCTGAGTAAGATGGTTCTGTAAGCTATTTCTGTCTACCGTAGGAGGCATATGTGTTAAACTGCAGGAACACAGGAGGGTTGGGTTTGGGTTGTGAGCTGGCATCTGATGGACAAGTTGGAGTTTGTTAAAGAGATAGAAAGAGATTTGTGAAGGATGTCTTGGGTGGAGCAACGACAGAGGAAAGCAGAGCCATATGCATTTACTGGACTTGAGCCATGGGCAGTGGAAGAAACATGGGGCTCAGGGGTGAAGCTGGTAGGAAATGGCAATGAGCTTGTGCCATGTTCAGATTGGGACTGCCTCAAGGTCAGTGAGAGCCATGGGAGATTTCAGCATAAAAGAGCTGACATTGAAGGGGCTGGGATCATTGCAGTAACTGAGGGCTGAGACGGACTCACTCTGGACGTTTGTCTTGTAATTATGCTGTCCTTAAAAGGTGTCATTTTTGTGCATTTTACCACGGCCTCTAGTGGAAAAACACCCGGTGTGTGATTGAAGATTCTTGGAGCTTACTTATCCACAATCCTTAGGGTGGATGGGACTGTATATAGGCAATAGCTTGCCCCTGTAAAGGGATGGAGTGAGAACATTTAAGAGTAACATTTTTGTTGAATTCCACAGAGACAAGCTACTCCCTGTGTCTAGTCTCAACAAGTTTCATATAAAGGACATGGGCCCACTTTGTAATATGGTTGCCAAAGTAGCAGTATAATAATTTGGGTAATAAATTTGTGTGTTTTATCTGTTGCTATATTTTTTTTAGACTAAAAGTGAATCTTCTAATTTGAATACCCCTAGAGGACAGGATTTCAAACACTATTTACACTGTTTCTTTGGCAGCCGTACTACAATGCAGGCCTTTTTTTTTCTGATTGTTTTCCTCATGGTTTTCGTCCCAGCCTGTGTTTGTTCATTTCCCATGTGTCACCACTGTTGCCGTTTCATTTGGACCCTGAAGTTACCAGTGTTACATTCGTTTTATTGAATTAACTTATTGTATTGGCTTGTTAGCATCTTCATTGCCACATGGGATGGATATGTTGTTTTGTACATGTTTTTTCTTCTACAACTTCAGTGGCTGGAATTCCTTTATCCAGCACATTAATGAAAAATGCCACACACACACACAAAGTTGTCACAGTTGTCTCTGACTCTTTTGTCCTGGTCAACATCATTAAATAGCACTCCGAGGAAGCTGGTCAGCTGGTAAAAGGAGCCTTTAGCTCTGTTTATTCAGAGTGATTGGTTCTCGAACATCATTGGGACATTAGAGAAGGTCTCATTCACCCTAAAACACACTATGTCTTATTCTGCATCTTGCTCTATTAGTTTAAGAATTTGTCAGGCCAGCAGTGCAGCTGGCCACTGTGACCCATTCTCTCTTTCAGATCCCTTTCTCAATACCCCAGATCAATACTTTCTGCACATACTTGCGTCCAGGATCAATATCAGGCCTGTGGGTCTCTGGGGTGGAGATCCATGCCCTGCCAATGCTTAATCCTGACCCTCAGCTTGATGGAACTTACGATCACCTAGAAAGCCAACTCATGGCGTATGCATGACACTGTTTCCAGGGAGGGTTAAATGATGGGAGCAGACCCGCCATGACGGGGCAGGGTAGCACCATGCCTTGGGGTTTGTCCAAATTGGAACGAAGGAAGTGAAGAGTTTTGTCATTTCATTTTAAGGCAGGCATTTTAGCTGGCTCCCTTAGAAGTGTTTTGGCCTGGAAATGTGTTTTGTTTGGCTCGAATGGTGTTGCGGTATTTTCCCCCTACATGGCATTTGAAATAAGGATATTTCATTTTTTTTAATAGCAAAACCCTTCTGATAGGAATGGGGGAAGCCTGATAGAGCCGCAGTACCCGGAGGTGAAGGTGCCTATGCTGTGGACAGCAGCTCCTCCTGCCTCTTCTTTCTGAGTCTGTGTGAGACAGAACAGCAGTTCAGACTTTTGAAAAGCTGGAAGCCCCATAGCTGCGGGATGCACTGTCCATCTCTGGCATGAAACAGAAGTACAGGCTCATCTGTCACCGCACTACCCTTGGCTAGTCACAACCACTTGGGCTGGCTGGCCCCTGGCTGTGTTTGAGTTTGCACCTGCTCAATTATGAGCTCAACTAATCAAAAGTGTACTAAGTGCTGGATGGAGAACACTAAGATGGAAGTAATTTTCCATTTCGTCTCCTCAGTGCAGACTATCGGATCAGGATGTGATTAGCAAGTGCTTGCCGGAGCAGGTGGCGTTTCCCATAGTACACCATTAACCCAATGGGCTAATTCTACCAGTGCTGGGCGCTCTAGGTAGCTGACAAGGTGTCCTCAGAGAGTCCAACCACTGTAGGATTGGGTTTGTTTCATTTGTTTTGATGACATGTAAAGTAAGGACAACCTTGAGGCAGTCCTGTCGTTCCAGAGCTAAGGCCTAACCTTCCAGCTGTTTGTCTGCAGTCTTGTCCCTGCTGCCACCGTTTCAGTGACAGAGTAGGTGCTGGAGCCCTGGACTCCTGGAGTTCTCTGAATCTTCTGTTATGGAGATCACAGCTGAGATTTGTAGGCAGGGCTGAGTTCAGGTTCTTCAGCTCTGCCTTTTCTTAGCTGTGTGACATTCCCTGTGCCTCAGGGTCTTACCGTAAAAAGAGGATAGTGATGCTGACTTCATAGAGTTGTCATGAGAATTAAACCCGGTAGGGTATTTAAAGAACATACAAAAGTGCCTGCCCCTTAATAATGTACACACCGTTCGTCCTGTCTGAAAACTAGGAGTTCCTCATTGCCTGCCAGAGTTAGCCAAAATCAGCATTTGAAATGCATAGAATGATTGCATAATTAGCATTTTCCCTCCCAGAATTTCTGCAGGCCTTTATGAGTGGGTTTAATCTGTGTATTTAGAAAAGAAACTAACAACAGTTTGAGCCAAGGTTGTCATTTCATTTCTAAACGTATGTGTTTACCTCCCTCTCTGGGATGTAAAGGAAAAGTTAGGGAACAGTCAAGATATCTAAGTCCTCACTAAGAACTACATTTGAATACGTTTGGTCCAGTTGTTCAATAAGCCTTCAGTACAAAGTCCATAAATGCTCTTATATGCAAAAGGGTCATAAGGCAATGCTCTGTTCAAAGAGTTTGAAAATCAGTAGATAAGAAGGTAGAAAGGGGGAGTATTATCTCCATTTTTTGTGATAAACTTGAAAAAATGAAAATTAAAGTACAGGTGGTGCTTTGCTTGAGATAGGAGGGTTAGCCTCAGAGTCAAGAAGCATCAGTGGCTCTAGAAAGGAGAGTGTGGAGGAGACTGTGGTGTAGACATTAGATTCTAACTTTGGCTATAGTTTACAGTTCTGTGGGTGGGACAACCTCCTGCTGTTTGCTTGGGGGGGGCTTGAATGAATGGGATGGGGAGTGGGATGGAGGGGAGAATGGGATGGAGATGTGGCTTCTGTGCAAAACCCTGCATCTCAGGAGGAAGCCGAATTGGTGAGATCCTTGCTGGAGATGTGAAATAAATTAAGTAATGGGTTAAGGTACCTATGCTGGAAGTGATGGGGGTTGTGGCTAAGGAGATAGAGGAATAGAGGGTGGGAAAAATAAGGAGTGTTTGGGAGTAAAATTGGTGATCAGGTGGGAGGGACACAGAAAGAGTCAAGAGTGACTGTCTTGAGTAATCATGAATTGGCCCAGGGCCTGAGAGAACTTGTCTAGTGGGGAAAGTGAATTTCCTTGTGTTTCCTTTTGGATTTTTGAGACCTCTGAGGCATCCAAGTGCATGTGCAACATCCAAGTATTTTCACATTTCTTTGGGAACCTACTTGAGTGGATTTGTGTAGATAAGCGCTCACTTGTCTGGTAAATGGTTAGTCTGTAGCTGGGCAGGAGCCAATTCCGTGAAACAGATTTGGAAGTCATTAGCATATGAGTGGTGGTTGAAGCCACAAGAGTGGATAATATTCAGTGAGGGAATAAAGGGTGAGGAGAGCCAGCAATCACCAAGCAAGATGAGGAGGAGCGCTGCAGCCTGCTGGCGTCAGGAGCCGGCCAGGGAAGGGAGGGATTATTTAGCTAACACAGGTGCTTGGAATATTCCGTAACTGATGGGGCGGCTGAGTCTTTAATTCTTGCCACATGCCAATGGTGATTTTATGTGGGTTAAAGCTGCAGTTGATGAAAGTCTTAAATGTCCCTGGTAGGAACAGGTATAGTTTGCATTCTCTGGTCAGGGTGCAGACCTGGAAAGTGTTGTAAAGTATATGAAGAGATATTGTGGGTAGTATAATTCTCCACCAGAAAGAAGGAAATGGTCAATACCCAACTCTCAAGAGAAAAACAAAAGCCAGAATGAGTGATTTAAAAGAAAACATTGTAAATTTCCCAAAACCCAGATAAAGAGGTGTTTTTATTATACAATGAAGGAATTGGCAACTTTACAACCCAAGCATTAGATAAGGTTTTTAAAAGAGAGAAGCCTTGATATTGGTGGGAGAGCACAGAAACAGCTACAGGTTAACTGTCTACAATCAAAAAATCAGAAAACTGAAATCTCTAACCCTGGGAAGTTGAAATGTCACCATGATGCCACAAGTGGGGAATTCTGCGTCTGGCAGTCCACAGACAACACGCAGCCACACCAAAAGCATTGCATAAAATTGCCTTTGAACGGATGGTCAGTATGAATGGTAAAGGAAATTCAGGTTTGGATTTGGACTCTTCTCTGAGATAATTCTTTACACATGCACAAGTACCAAGGCGCAAAGGAAAGAACAGTCCAGACTCTGAAACACTTCTGGCTCTAGCGGGTTGGTTGAGGAAGACTGGACCTGTTGTGAGAAATTGGGCTGCCCTTGGTTGGGTTGAATGTAAGCCTTTATCATGCTTTCTTACACAGTGACAATCGCTTGTAGGAATGTTCTTTAGGTTATTCATTTACTTATTTCTTTAATTCAATGTTAATGTGTTCAGGTATACCTACATGTTCCTCAGGGCCATCCTCCTTGCCTTTTAAGACAGTGTCTGTGACCTA